CCTACCTACTTCAAGATAAGAAAATCACAATTCTTAAAATTCTTTAAAATAACTTTTGTGTAACTAGGAGATACATCACTCTACTTTGCACTATTAAGCATTAGGTATATTTTCAGTGTCAATAGTTAGCTTTAATCTCACAGCTACCAATTTTTCTGAGCAGCTATTTATGACATTAGGAAACAGCTGCCATATTACAATCTATAGCCTTGGATGTACATGCTTTTCATAGGCATTGTAAAAGCCTTTACTTGGCACTTCTAAGAGCTTCATATCTTTGGCTCTCTGTCAGAAGTAAACTGATACAAAGCGTAGAAAACCTTGTATCACACGCTGCAGGTCATAACTTCAGAACTAGTACAACTTTTATACCACCTTTAGCTTACCCTATGTCTTTTAAGAATCAAAATGTCAACAGAGTATCTATACACTTTAACACATGGGAATAATTTTAAAACAAATGTTTCTATAACTGATTTGCTCTAAAAAAAGCTTTTTGCAATTGTAACCATGGAGTTAAATAGTTTAATTATTCTGACAAAACTTCCCTCATTAGTCATGTGCAAGAAAAGATATGCTGCCTAACAGAGAATAGGACTACTACCAGCTCATATACACTTCTCAAATGCCAGCTATACAAACTTACTTGAGATACAAGTTTGGAGTAAGGTTATGCCTTCAAAAAAACCAAAAAGGATCCTCCACCCTCAAAAAAGCCACATGCCCAGGCTGACTTGTACATCGTTTTGCAGGCTTATGCACTAGAATGGTTTACTCCGCAGTCTGATGCTCTCTTGCACATCCATTTCCACAGCAACAGAAAGCAATACGAGAGTACCCTTGCTTGTAACAGAGGTCACTCATGCAACATTTAATCTGCCTTTATTCATAGATATGTGATAACTACTAGAAGTTATGAGTGAGTGTTCCTACAATTTAGCCAATGCAACTGCTGAAGCGTTTCAGATCTCAGCACAGTGTACCAATTCTACATCTCAACTAGCACGCTTGGTATATTATTAATAGAGAAAATTAAAAATGAAAAGTGCTGCAAGACTGATTCCTTTCTTAAACATAGCATTCTTTGAAAATATTTTCAATCAGAGCATTAAACCACAGCAAGCTGAGCTTTCCTCCTGTTTCAAAAACACCTAGCTAGACCATTGCTTCTTTTATCATATGCCAACCAAAATACTTTTTTTAGAGCATCACAGTTTCAATCATGAGCATATAAAAATATCTATATACATACACATATATTTATGAAAGGTATTTCATGCAAATACGTTTAAGCATAGAACTTGCCAAGAGGTTCATAAACGAAAACACTGCTGTACAGCTAGAAATTATCAGAGCTGCAATAGCTTAAAAAAGTTAATGTATTTCTATGTACACCATTTTCTCACATGTGAAAGCCAACTTTTGAGCAACAAATTCTTCCTGAAGACAAACATTTTGATAAACGCACACGCATAGAACTCCACCCAATGTGGGAAATACTTGGAGTTAGACTATGTTTTCTTAAACTGAAGTGATGCAGTAATGCTGACCAGAAGACAACTGTTCATCAAGAATTCGGTGATCCACATAACAGTTGACCTGAGCAGGTCTGGGCTTGTGCTGTGCTGCACAAGTTCCTGGGCCACAGGACAAACCTAGCCAGCTGACAGTAACAGAGGAGCCTGCAGGCAGCTCCCACGTGGTACCAGCGACTGAGCCACCTGCGCATTCTCACCTTTATGGAAAAGTGTGGCATCAAGTTCTCAACAGGGTTCCCATTATCTGTGTGACGTAAGATTATTTACACTATTCTCTCTTTTCAGTGTCAGCTCTAATAAATAGCATTTTAAATGATACTTTACACAGTCTGAGTGCCTTTCTTACAGGAATCATAATGGACCAGCATCTGCTGATGAAAAACACTTAAAAACACAATAAAGATAACAAAATAACACTGCCAAAGGCAGCAAGAAGAAAAGCCAAATCTGACCGTATCCCTTTCAGGCTCAGAATAAAAAAAACTGACATTTGGGTAGGAGGGAAGCATTCATCAACACACTACATCTGTGATGCTTATTTGAGGTCCTAATATGCAGGGTCAGAAACTAATCATTTTCATAGATGAGTGGGAGGTGGAGGAAGTGGGAAAATGGATGAAAATAATCTTTTGAAAAAGTTTAAATTTGATTAGTTTCTTATTTATGGTCTGAAAAAAATACGGATTTATTGATTTAGTTAAGCGGGAAGAAGTTCAGGTCTTTGGAGACCTGAAAAGTAATTTCCTCCCAGACAAACAAACGAAAAACCCCTGATACTTTAAATATTATAGGTTCCTCTCATAAACATGAGATTTCCACCCCCTCCAATCCTCTCCATCCCCTCCTCCTCCAAAAAAAACCTAAACAAACAAACCCCTACCTCAAGTTCTGATACTTTCATTAAGGGAGGAGCTAGAATCAGGAACTTATTACTCCGTCACTTACATTGAGACACTAGGAAAGATGCTTTACATTTGCTTATTGTAACTTGCAAAGTGCAAATACGTTTGTCCATACATTTCAAATGCAGAAATACTTATTGAGACTTAAAGAAAGGGGGTAATTTCATACTAAAGTACTACACAACTTTCAAGTTACAGTTCTTTCCCTGTATCTTCCAATTCTTGGCTAATGGTTAAGTATTTTCAATCCTTTAGTTACACAATCTTTGCTTGCTAACAATAAAAAAGTTTGAATATTACTAATTCAGAAAGTTTCAACAAAAAAATGCAGCCAACTGAAGTCAGTTTATACTGTTTTATCTGCTTTGGCACTGAGGTTGCCTTGGCATACTTATTTCCTCCAATTTCCCAAATACCCACTTACCAGGAAAACCTTCAAAAGTGATTCTGTCCCCAGGTACTGCCCCGGGTGGGGGAGCCAGAACTTCCACTTTTTCTGGGGAGCTGGCACACATCACCATTGCTTGAGATACTACTCCTCTCATCTTTGCAGGCTTCAAGTTACAGAGTAGTATTGCCATGCGATTCTGCATCTTAGGGGAAGAAACAGAAGGATGTGAGTACTTAAATGCCACATGCTTTGGGGGACTCTAATTGTTTCATTATATCAAAAGAATTACAATTAAGAGACCTTAACATGGATGAGAGAAGCACACAACAACAAATGCACAAGTTGTCTGTTGCAAAAAATGTGCAATTCAGAAATCCAAAAAACAGGTGATGCAATTCACCCGCGTTCCATCTTTACTTGTTCTAGATCACCACTTCAGTCCATTTTCAGTATAGCACTATTTACCAATTTGTACTTAATTAGAAAAAAACCCCACAAAACAAAAAACACTCCACAAATTAGGCTAGCTCATAGATAAAAATTTCAGCCTGTGTACTGGAAGCATACAGGTGTATTACATAATTAGCTCACTTGAATCTTATCTTCTTTAATCCAGATTATTTGAATGATTTTTAAGCACTGAAAATGGCTGTATATACTGCGCACTGCAATTTGTTAGAGCAAAATAGTAAAACTAGGCTTCTTCCTTTGTTGTTGTATTTTAATAAAAATTATAGTAGTAAAACAGAAAAAATACACTTCATTGGGTGAAACTGCCACACTTTAGCTCAGAAAACAAACCACACTTTCAAACTGAATAAAAACCAAACCCAGAACATTCTTAAGAGACAGGCAGAAAGTAAGGAAGCCTTAATTCCCATACTCCCAATGCACATATATGTTTCTCCGTATTTATAGATTTCAGTCTTTGTGCATTACAATATAAACTTTAAACAAAACTGCAGGATTAATACTTAATAAACTCATAAGATGGAGTATTCTGAATACTGCATATTTTCCAAGTAGAACTTTATACAAAGGAGAACTATAAACTTCCAGAATGAAGCCATTATAATGAAAAGTTGATCTTGCATATGTTTCAGGGCAGCCCACTGACTGAAAATTTCTTAAGTTATTGCTATGGCTATAAATAGCCCAAAACACAAGAAATTGCTGTAAGCTCTCAGTGAGTCTAAAATGCAAATTGTAGACATTACCTAGCACTGAATAACAATTAGCAAATGGATATACAGAATAAAAGAAACAAGATTTGTGCATCTCGTACTGAACTTTAGTTTTGACTAACTGGAAAAAAAAAAAATCTAGACTTCAGAGCATTGCTTTTTTTATCGCAGATTATACAGATGACAAAACCAGACTGCATTAATACAGAAATAGATATCGTTGTCTTCATCAAACTAAAAGGAAGAAAAACCAAACTCATCAAATCATTCATTTATCTCCACTCACACTAGTTCAAATGTTTATACATACTGCATGAGATTTCTGTATGAGAAGTTGACTACTATCACAAAATTAAGAAGTATTTATCAACATTTCAAATATACACATCATCCCATCGCTTTTGCTAGGAAGTATCTTCAAATGCTTTTGAAAAGCTGCTATAATACTAAGACATGTGTACTGATTTCACAAATAAACGGTAAGAACCCACAAGGTTAAATAAACATTTTAATAAAATAAAAAGAAAAACCCACACAAAGACAGACAGACAAACCCAAAACTTCATTATTAAAAAAAATCTTTTTATTACAAATGGCTCAAACTTTAAACTGTCTTCAGATAAATGACAATTCCCTAAGTACAGAGAAAAAAAGAAAATGGCCCTAAATAAATGTTTCCCAAAAAAGCAAACTTTTTTAGTTGTTTTTTTTTTTTTAAATTTAAAATTGGTTGTACTAATTTTTACAGAAGGGTCTTACTGTAATGTTTCCAGAAAACAGGGCTTCAATTACAACAGTAACCCCCCCTATATTTATGTATAATAAATGCGAAGAAAGAGTTGTTTATGAAACATCAGGGAATCTGATGTTTGGGTATCATTCTCTCTGCATTGCTCTTATGAGACCTTTTTACAGTAAATGACAAATAGAACCCTGAAATGTGTCAGCTACAAAGAGTCAGATCCAGTAATTCTACAGATGGCCGCTTTCTGTAACCCCATAAATTAGAGGGACAAAAGAAACAATCTAGTTTTCAAAAGTAATCTTAAAAATAAATTGGAGAGTTTCCTGACAGACCTATAAGACTGAAAAAATGGGAAGAACGCTGACTCCCTTTCCCAGTATGTGAAAAGTTCTATTAGAAATACAAGATGCTACTGAAAAGCAGCTGAAGGTGACACATAGACAGTAAGCGTATCTTTCCTTCTGCATTTGCATTATTATCCAGTAAAACAAATTCTGGCTGAGAACAATATGGCATATCTCTACAATTAGAAGGGCACAAACAGAAGCAAATTCATGTCTACAGTGAGCTGATAAGCCTTTGGCATCTCAATAAGTGTTCAATACATAAGTGAGGTGAGAATAAGCAAATGAAATTCAAATGTTATCTTCCTGAAACACTTACAACCTCCACTGGCCCTCCAAAAACCCAATCCTTTTGTTTCAGAAATCCAGGAATTTCAAAACTGACAAGTCAACTAGTGAGAAACTGATTTAGTTTCAGAAAAAAATGTTAGTTGCTACAGTTTCTATGATTGGGCACACAGCTACCTCACATTCAGAATAAAACAATGCATTTTCCCAACATGCTGGCAGAAACAAGCATGAGAGAGGAGAAAGAAATAAAGCAAAGAAACTAAAATGAGGAAAAGTTAATCCTGAAGTTTACCATAAAGAAAACCCAAGAGCTTATCCTTGAAGCACAAATATCAAGTTGCTCTTTTTCTTCAGTAATACTTGAAGTTACCTCTATAACCGATTACCAGTTAACTATCCCTCTACATCTCAAAATGGGATACCATGACAGACTGCAATGGCTAATGAATACGATTTAAAACCAACACAGTGATTGCTTTAAAACCAGAGTGAGCTGCAATGCCAACAGCAACAAAAAGCCCTCCTCAATTTATTACATGCTTGTCTGGATCTTAGGTTTGCCAGAAAACATAACTTACAAGTCAAAAGCTTGGTCACATAGAAATAGCTATTTGTTTCATATCTGAAAAGAAACACACTAGCATTTAAACTAGCCTTGAAGCATAATACTATAAAAGTAGAGGGGAAAAAATGGTTTGCTTTAAGAAAGGTGTCTTTACATTACACAGAATGTGTCAATAAGTTTATAGCCACGCTGTAGTCACTGTTCTTTACGATTCATAGAAACATGTTTTCCCTGCAGACTACACAAAGAAAATCATAAGATCAAGAGTATGTATAAGGAATATAATTACCATTCTATCTAAGAAAGAGAAACACAAGTTCCACTACTATTTGCTAATTCTTGGGTGGACAACAGGAACCCTAAAACAATGATCTAGAAAGAAAAAAGATGAAGCCATCTAAGTAGAAAGAAGAAGTTTCTGCTATAAAAATAAGACTACGTAGTTCATAATAGATACAAATATAATGCATCCTCTCATAATGAATGGTTGTAGCATAGTTTTTCTGCAGGCTGATGGTGGCCTTGCCTCTTCTTGCCAAGTTTAAGATACGTGCCCTGCATTCTTGATCTCCACTTCTGATTACTGACAGCAGGATCTCTTAAGTTAAAGGGGTTTCCAGGAGGCAAAAGCCGCAACACTTGAGAATTGTCTGAATTTCAAGAATGATTGCCTGAAAGAGGTATTGATGCTAGGAGCACACAGACATCCACTTCAAAAAGTCAAATGCATTATCAAAAAACCTGTCAATTCCTGCTGACATTTCATAGTGTTCTCCAAATGTTCCCAGTTGCTGCTGAAAGGGCTCAGTACTGCCATGGTCCATTTCATGTTTCAGTACCATATCTCTGTTACTGATGACACACACATCTTTCCATACATGATACCCAAGGGTGCAACTTCTGACTTGGCTTTACCATCATCAGTGGTGCACAAAACCACAATGTACCACATATAAAGTGGGCATGCAAGAAGTTTTCACACCAATAAACAACTTGCACAGCATACTGAAATGTTAATGAAGACAAATATTGTGCTTCCTAACCAAAAGTAAAATCAGATGATACAAATACTACAGCCTCAAACATTGCTAAATTACCACATCATACACTGCAATCATAAATAGCTGAATTTTTTGTGAATTATGTCTACAGTACTTGATCCATAACATACATTTTTCTTTACATGTATAGCAGTAGTCACATGCCAGGCCTTCACGTTTTTGAACCCCTCAAAAAACACACAAAGATGGAACCTTTCCCCTAAGAATTTACTGTCCAATAGAGACTTGCCAAAACCAAACACACAAACTAACTGTTCCCAATGAACATGCAAGAATGATCTCTAATTCTCTGTCAATGAGTACTTTGGATTATTTTTTCCAGGCAGTGAGCAAGTTAAAGATAAAAGACCGTTACTACTGCTGTATTCCGTACACTTCATGTTCATAAGATTATTTAAAAAGGCTTTTAAGATGTTTTTTTTACATGTATTCTTGAGAGCGGACTGCTAAAAATGAGCAATTTGAATTTTTGCCCACTAAAAATCCAGTAACCGGACACTATCAGGTGATCAGTGCAGAACAGTTACTGTATTCAGTCTTTTTTCTCAGTTCAATAACTTTCTGTATCATAAGAACAACAATCACAATTTTAATTGCCTCCTACATTTGCAGTCTTACCATGGAGACAGGGCATGAATAGCGATTGAAAAGGCATTTGAACAAATGTAGCTTTTCCATGCCAAGATCAATTCCTTCATGACTTGCTTTGCAGTTGCTTTACACAACATTGCTTTAAATGCCCAGCTTGCGTTTGAATGTAGAAGCAGCCTTCAGTCAATTCCTCCCTTCCACTACCCCTCTACAAGAGGTGTGAAATGAAAACATAATCTTGAAGTCTTAGGTTTTTCAAGACTTACGTAAACCATGCGTATCAAACACAGACGTGTATCAGCTAAAAGAGCATAGAGGCAGACTCTATGCCAAACAAGGAAGTAAAAATACTCCTTCTGTATTCTACTGTTGTTTAAGCCATTCACTGCCAGCTACGTTAAGTTTACACGCGCTTTGCTTTACTCCATGTCAAACACTTCAATGGGCTATGAAGAGAGCTGGAAGGCAAAGGTTTGAAAAGCTTGGATGATAGCAAAAAAGTTGGGGGTTCTCTACTACATACTAGGAAACCTAAAAGGGAGAGTCACATTTGTTTGGTTTAGGAGTTCAGTGTGTACCAATGGCATCACAGAGGAGTCAGAATAAGATCCCACGATAGAAGCACTGCCAGCAGAAAGGTACTGATTTGGTGTAAGGGCACTACTCCATTTTCTGGCAAATGTTGTTAAGCATTACTTTCATTTGCATTTTATTTTTGTTTCCATGACTGTAAAAAACTTTAGCAGAATGAAAACACATCCTATAAACGATGAAGGTCTTACTATACTTTAGGAAGGGAAAGGCTATCAGTAAATAATTTTGTCAATACCTGATCCAGAGGAACATGTTTCACTAAACCGCTGACAACAGTCCTTGGGCTTGCCTCACCAACATCCACTTCTTCAACATACAGAGTGTCTGCATCCGGATGCTTTTCAGCAGTAATAATGCAGCCAACACGAAGATCCAGACAAGAAACATCTATGGGTTTTGCATCACTACTACCAGCAGCTGGTTGCTGTTTCTTCTCCTTCTTTTCACCTGTTAAAGAAAGTTTAGTTCATGAAATAAACATTAAAAAAGCATAAATAATATATACGACTATTGCAACGGAACAGTGAACTGCAATATCACAATTAAGTGTAAATCCAGTGTAAAACACAAATGAAGAGTAAAAATTTAGCACCTCTATTACTAGCTTCCAGTGGAGAATCACCATACACACTCCAATTGTTACTACAAGTAATTACCACCCTCGGACAGAGGTGTTTTCTTGCTTCTAAAGTGAAGTCATCCAGAACTTTAAGTGTAGCTAACATGTATGTGACATATACGCTTTGCCACAGGCCACATCAATACACCTGATAGTACTGTTTTAATAGTTAGCAATTACCAGTAAATCTTGCCATGGTGTTTCACCAGCAAAGGGAAACTAGACAATCACAGGTCATCAGGTTCCCAGGGCTTAACAACAGCTCCTGACTGTGGACAATGCTAAGCCACTGCAATTGCACTGTTACAGTTGCAAAGCAACTCTTCAAGATGACATTAGCTAACATTCTTCACTTCTCAAATATACTAGTGTGTGAAAATGCTCATAGCTTACAAGGTTCCACTGATGAGGAGTCTTTATCCCATGGCAATGCAAGGGTTTATTATCACCCATACATACTGTATAGTATAAAACAGCAGTGAAGCAACACTCCTCATACACAGCTGCTTATTTAGATATTCTTTTCAAGATGAGCAAGTTACATCCAGTTTGTAGGTAAGACTAACCTGTTTAAAAGACATTCAAGATTTGTTTAATGACTAATAATCTCTGGGGGATTAAGAAATGTTTAAGAAGTGCTTACTTTGACAAGCAAATTCTGTTATTCTTTTATCCAAGATAACTTACATATTAATGTAAACTAAACTCCCTTCCTTAGGGACCAAAAAAGGAACAGCGGACACAACAGGCAATTTGATTAATTTATCATTGCTCTAGTACAGGGTTGAAATTAAATCGTACTTTCAGTAATAAAGAGACAGTATTTTTTAACATAAACAATAGCTCTTCAAAAATATTTCAGTTCACATATGATGAATAAAAAGCTCTAGTGTTTATGATGGGGTTTTCTTAATCTAATTGTAATTGGGTTACAATTAAGATTAATAAAACCAGGCACATATACAATACTTGAAAAGAAACTGAAAAAATGCCATAAAAATATTTAAAGTTTTTGGCAGCAATAATGCAGCCATAAGCACGTAACACCATTTCAAAGACCTGCCATCTTTATCCTTGGTATCATTCCTCACTGTTCTTCACTTCATGACGTTTCTCTATAATAGTTTGTAGCCAAAAAAAAAAGTCAGCTTCTAGCACCTTCTTTATTTCACTTTAGAGAAATTGAGTCTGTCACCAAATAAGGAAAAGAGAACACAGCAAGCTTGTCTGTACACAGCATGTATGAAGACGCACAGAAAATATCTATTTCAACACTGCAGGCTAAGGAGAGCGCTGCGCTCCTCTGGCCAGTGCAGGAGTCAGCCCAGAATCAATATCCGCAAAAGCCTCACAGATGAAGTCTGCAAGAAGTGGAACTAAGAACATGAGAGTAACTAGAGAGGCAACAGGCGAGACAGGCGACAGAAAGCAAAGAGATTTGAGATGTTCCATAATTTTTTTGAATGTCAAGACTAGAAAAAAAATTTTACATATTGGTTACTCTGATTGTTTAACCATATACCTACAATCAATGTTGAACTCCACAGAAATAGCCTGTTCAGGGCTTCTATTTAACATTCATGCTATATTTCACCTTCTTCCAAATACAATCACTGGAAGGAAAAAGTCAAATAGATTGCTTTCCAAATTTAAAGTACTTATACAAGATGAGGGGAAATACAATACAAGAAAGTTTTATTTTTCCTCACCAACCTAATACCTTAACTGTAGTCACTGAATACTTGAAGAAAACCGTTAACTGCCTCATATGACATATGGCCTTTGCTTTTATATTGACAGCTCTGTGGAATATTGCTGCGACAAAGGCTGTAGTTCACAAAAAAAAAAAAAATGAAGTAGCTTACAAGCCTTGCGTACAGCTCAGCAGAAAAATAAAAAAGAGATACAGTGCCCTGTAAGCACAATATCCAAACTCTGAAAAGCTGTACAAATCAATTCATAGCCAATTAATAATAATTTGCATCAAAAAATGATTGTAAAACATGAGTTTAAGTTACAAGATAGGCACCTGTACTTCCGTGTAAGTGTAACAGATGCTTATGTCTCTTCTTCTATTAAGAGAATTGGTTAAACAGAAGCCAATATAGACAGCTAAAAAAGAAAAACAGAAGTGAAGGCATCGAGAAACCTACATACCCTTCTCCTGTATTTTCTCCCTGTTGCCAAAACCACATTATGCTATCTGCCTATGTCCTTTAGCCAGTACCTCCTCTTAGCCACACCACTTCGCCAGTGTTGACATGTACGGATCTGATCAATTCTGATTGAACTTCATTGCCTGCAAGATTTTTCCAGGAAAAAAAAAAAGCAGCATACTTACAGGATGCAGAAAACTGCAATTTAGCGCTCTTCCTTTGGTATTACATTATTGCCCTTTGCTTACACTGCTTCCATAGTGGGAAAAAAAAAGTCTAACTAAGCCTTAGAACAGAAAGCCATCCAGTCTGCCAAAAACTTTTCTAAACTTCACATCCTCCTTCCCTCCCTGCAACTCCCCTGCCCCTTTTATTTTTTTCTCCTTTGTGTGTGTGTGTATCTTGGTTTTGCTTTTTGCTCTTGTGGGGTTTTTGGGGGCTTGGTTTTTTAAATTTATTTATTTATTTATTTATAGTAAAGGATTTCAGTCAGATTAAAAGAAATATGGTATGTACCCCATGTAATTAAGAACCTGTAGCTTACTTGATGGCCTTCATTAGCTTGAAATACCTCCAAGATCTTAAGAGACAGCACATGACTCTTCCTACTGTGGTTGGACAAACTGGTTTCTTCTGTGCGCAAAATTATGTAAAAGCACTTCCATAAAATTAAATGCCTTAACTGTCTATCACAGTTAAGAAAACTGAAGTACCTTTTTTTTCTATTTTTTCCTTCTTTTTCTTTTCTTCATCTTCACCTTTCATTTGATCTTTGGAATCAGGAGATGAAGCAACTGCTGTAGGTTGTGGAACATCTTCTGAAAATGAAGCTGTAGAAACGGTTGTACCAGGAGGAACTGCAATCTGTTTTACTGAAATTAAAACCAAAAAAGTTAGAAGGGGTACCAGAACTTTGAACACTGACATTTTAAACTTCCAATGTAAATGAGAAAGAACACTGAAAATTTTGCTTAAAATATCTGAATCACAACCGTTGAGTCAAATACAAGAAAATGTATAGGCAAACACCACCACTTTTTGCAGTTTATTTCAACATCTAGCTGTCTTTACTACTAACTCTTCATTTCTCATTTGCGTTTGTCTAGTTTCAGTTTCTAGCTACTAGCTCTTGTCGTACTGGAGACTATTCTGCAATTTTCTAAGCCGAAAATCATTTTTATATTGTATACAGACAACTCCTCAAGTCTTTTTTCTAACTAACTAAAGAAACTGAGCCTCAATAATCACATTCTAGGAAATAATCTGCAGCCCTAAAATGAACTATGGATTCCCCACTTCCCTTCCCTAAATTTTCCACAATACCTTCATATTTCCTTTTAAACTGCTGATACAGAATTCCGGACATTATCTCACTATCCATCTTAGCAGACGAAAGCATAAGGAATCACCCCCCTTCTACATTCTGCTCTCCTCAAGAACCTCATCAGGGCTTTTTACTGAATCATTGTACTGGGTAAGCATCAGAGTGCTAGACAACATCATCTAGGCTCCCTTACCCACAAAAGGTTACACCAGATGATCTTTCGAGGTCCCTTTCAACTTCAGCTGTTCTACTCTTCTATGATTAATTACTGTTTGAGAAATTCCTCTACTGTCACTACTATATAGTTGCCCATTCTGGGCTCTAAACTGAGCATGATGTCTATGGTATGGAATATTTCCACTGGCCAGCTTGGTTATCTGTCTGGCTATGCTTCCTCCCAGGTCTTGCACATCTGCTCATTAGCTGAGTATGAGAAATTGGAAAAAAGTCCTTGATTTCACAGCAACAACTGAAAATACCAGTGTTCTCAACATTCTTCTACTAAATGCAAAACACAGCAGCTCCTGGGAGGAAAATTAACTCTACCCCAGTCAAAACTAGGACATGTGTCCACCTAATTTCTGTGCTCAACTACTTAATACTGTCAAGCCTAACATACACTAATTAAATTCAAAAGCAAAGGTATGAATTTAGCCTTACTACCTTTTAGATAAACTAGCTAAAGGAAGATGCATGTCAAGCCAAATATTAATTTCCTAGTCCTTTCTTATCTAGGAAAAATCTACATATCTCGAGACTTCTCTCTCAAGCATAACAGACATTCTGTGAAATACCCTATACCTGTCAAGAATTGCTGCAGGCTAACAGACAATGGAGAAATATAAACTGATCATCTGGTTTAGTACATGAAAAGGCTTTGTTCATACCCGAAGGAGAAAAAGAAGTCTCTGAATTTCTAAAATGCTAGTCTTTTTGAAGATTGAATCTGTTGTTTCACCAGTGAAACATTCAATAGGGTTGAATGCTAGCGTCCAGCTACACTGGACGCTGTCTCACCCAATTTGCTGTACTGGCAGCATGGGTAAAAATAGTAATCGCTGTTGAGGACGGAAGAGGTTTCCTTTGGAAATAATTTTAAAGACAACGTGCTGTATCTGAAACATTTCAATTTTGTTTTTTCTCCTTTGTTTTTTAGTACGAATTATATAACGGTGGTGCAAGCTGAACAGAACTACACAGAGGAGTGCAAAGAAGGAAAAACAGTGCAAAGAAAGGCTGATCTTACTAAAGTATGGAATCAAAATTCAAAACACATTGTTTCTAGTTTTATGTTACCAGAGATTCTCTGTAAGTTACTGCCCATCCGTACTTTGATCTATGGCTTGATTTTCCATCAGGATTTTTCAAGTTGTTCTGGATTAAATACTCAAGAGTATCAAGAAGTGTTAGACATTCAGCAATTTCTAAGGTATTATCAGGAGTTACTGTCATCAGTCAAAATCAGGGCTTATTATGAAAGGCACTGTACATAAACCATACAAAGACCAGTTCCATGACTGATTAAGATTTGGCGTATGTACCTGTTAGGCTTCCAGCTTACTAAAATACGTTGGAAGTAACTTGTTATAGGCATGGAACATAGACAAATCCAGAGTTTGTAAGAAATGCCAGAGTGTCACATTTAGAAAGATAAAAATCAAGAACAATTAAGACCGTACAAAAAATGATCAAAACTAGAGCTATGTTGTACGAAGACAGGACTTTTTTCCTACCTCCATTTCGAATTTCTGCCTGAATCAGTTCCTGTTTCAGCCCTTCAATTTCTTTCTTCAGTTTAGCATTTTCCACACGGAGCTTCTTCTCTTCTCGGAGAGATGCCTGCAAGACTAGAGTTGACACTATATTAAAAACAGCTGGCTTCAATAATCAGCATTCATCATTTAGCAAAGGTTTTGTTTTCAGAGAAAGTTGGTTGGAAGTGACCTTAAAAAATCACCTAATGCAAAACCCCTCTGCCATGGGCAAGGACAGTTTCCACTACACCAGTTGCTCAAAGCCTCATCCAACCTGACCTTGAACACTTCCAGGGAGTGGCATCCACAGCTTCTCTGGGCAACCTGTGCCACTGCCTCACCATCCTCACAATAAAGAATTTCTCCCTTCTACCTAATCTAAACCTATCCTCTTTCAGCTTACAGCCATTACCCCATGTCCTATCACTACACGCCTTGTCAAAAGTCCCTCTGCAGCTTTCTTGCAGGCCCCCTTCAGGTACTGTCGGGCTGCATTAAGATGTCCCCGGAGCCTTCTCTTCTCCAGGCTGAACAACCCCAACTCTCTCAGCCTTTCCTCACAGGAGAAGTGTTGCAGCCCTCTGATCATTTTTGTGGCCCTCCTCTGGACCCGCTCCAACAGGTGGACCTCTTTCCTGGGCTCCAGAGCTGGACGCAGGACTCCAGGTTGGGTCTCACCAGAGCAGAGCAGAGGGGCAGAATCACCTCCCCTGACCTGCTGGCCATACTTCTTTTGATGCAGCCCAGGATATGGCTGGCCTTCTGAGCTGTCAGCACACACTGCTGGGTTATGATGAGCTTCTCATCTACCAGCACCCCCAAGTCCTTCTCCTCAAGGCTGCTCTCAATCCATTCTCCACTCAGTTTGCATTTGTGCTTGGGATTACCCTGACCCATGTGCAGGACCTTGCATTTGGCCTCATGAGATTCACACAGGCCCACCTCTCAAGGCTGTCCATGTCCCTCCGGATGCCATCCCTTCCCCCTCCAGCATGTCGACCGCACCACAAACTTGGTTTTATCAGCTAACTTGCTGAGGGTGCACTCAATCCCACTGTCCACATCACTGACAAAGATGTTAAACAGTGCTGGTCCCAATACCGATCCCTGAGGAATACAACTTGTATTCCTCCCAACTCCCCTTCTCCTCCCAGGAGGAATCATGTCCTATGAAATTTCCATAATCTGTTGGTGCCATTAACCCTTCCTCATTCATGCCTTTTCCAGTTCAGAACAAAGATCTTCAAAAAACCCCACAAACAACAAGACAGTGAAGCGGTGCTACTATTACATACTTTATCTTGGAGAACTTAAAACACACTTAAAAGGCTGACAGCCCCAGTGAAGTTTTCTATGTTCTCGTTTTTTCCTATGAACATTTAATGTCCACCATCTGGCTAACAAATTTATCATAAAATAGATAATTCCTTACTAGCTTTCTCCTTGAGCAGAGCAACTTGTTGCTTGAGGTATTCAATAACTTGATCAGCCTCTGCACCCTTCTGCTCCAGTCTGTTCAGCACTGCATTGTTGGTTGCCATCTTCACCAAGAAACGGGCTAAAAACCTAGACAAACAATAGCCCAAAATTAATGACTTGTTAATGTAATAATGCTACTATCTCTTACCACAGTTTTAGCACTTCAAAAATCAGTTGCTGAATAAGGAAATTCGCTAAGTGAACAATCTGGGCTCCTACTCCCTAATGCAAAGCACAAACCAAAAGCAATGTTACATGGAATCTGGTGTTTGACAGTTGCTTTCAAGTATTTTGCGAGAAAAGCTACTTTACTTCCCAGCCGCAGAAAACATGTTCTTCTTTCATGAAACTGAAAAAATTCCACCTTCTCAGAAAGGTCTGAGTAAACAAACAAACAAGAAAACATCACAAAAGGTTGGACAGGAGAACACTGTATCCTGGTTTTAGCTGAAAAAATTATGAAGTGTACCCAGAATTTTATTGACACTAAGAAAACAGAAACATCCCATGAAAATTTCCAAAGTTTTCTGTCAAATTTATTCAGAATATACTGAATACTTCATACATTCTGGTTGTGCATACATTAAGAATTTACTGTTATTTTATTTTTAAGCAGAGTTTATCAGTATTTTTACTTATTTCGGATTAATGCAACTTTTATTGCAGGTTTACACCTTCACGTCTTATGTTGTTTCCACTGAAATGGAAGGCTAGGCAGTTGGGTAACAAATTAAAGCAGCGAGAAACACAAAAGCCCAGTAAAGGAAAGAGCACAAACAAATACTGTCTAATCTTGTTTCAGAATCTTCAACTCCTTTGACTGGGTTTCTCTAATGTTCCAGAAACTTGCTATGCCTTGCGTACAGCCTTGTTTCTTGAAAGTTACCAAACTTGGTCTAATTCCTTCTCTGCAACATTTGTGTCTAACCATAAAAGCTCAAATAGTAGCAACAGAATGATGAAATACAGTTACAGTCCGTCATGTCTGCAGCATAGTGCTTTTACCCTCCCACTCCATATCTAGATGAAGAAAGAATCTGTACTAACAGCTACCTCATCTGTAAATCAAGAAAGAAAAATGATTATAGTTAGGAAAAGACACTTTGTAGATCCTCACATGCAACAGTGATGTAATTGCTGTGAATTTGCAACAAAGAGAAGAACTGGTAAGAAAATGGCATGCATTAGCTCCTCAACTTTATCAGAGACAAAAAATGTCTCTTCTCGTATCAAATGGGGAGAAAACTTCCCATTTTATTGCAAGATTATTCTGACACTATGAACTAAACGCGTTTTTAATGTACCAATTCTCTGTTGGGATTTGCAATCAAAGCCATGCTGAAGACAAAACAGGTTTAGAAACAACTGAAAGGTGAACAGATACAATCACACACATGTCAGTGTCAACACATCACCTTTTTTGCACTCTCAGTATCAACTTACATTTGATATTTCATTTTGTATTACAAAGAACTCAATTCTCCATAGCTATATATCTTTAAAAAAAAGGGCAAAAGACAACGAATCAGGAATAGTGTAATTAAAAGTTCTAAAAGTAAAATTCACAAAGCCAGAGACAGATACAGTAGTCATATGATGCATGGGGTATATTCCTCCTGCAGAAGTGATGAATGAACCAACGCCTTGCCTTCTTTGCAATCTAATAGAATTGAGGTCTGTTTTACATACACTGTTTTGCTTAAATATGCAAGAGTATTACTGCCATCACACCTTCCACTCATCCACAACAGATTTCTCTTTGAAACGAAAGAAACTCTGATGGAGAGAACAGTGCTAAATCACCTCTCCAGGACAACTAATTTTAATCTTCAAATTATTCTCTGCTAATAAGAGACCAATTTTGTATTCATGTGCTGTCTGAAAACAGTGTTTTAAAGGGCAAATAGTGATTCCAATAATTTACTGATTTATATGTCAAATGGAAATAGACATAAAACTATTATGGCACAGCACAGTATAATCTAAAGCCTGGGGTATTGCTGTGTGCATACCAGTAAGATTTCTTGCAAGCTACACATTCTCTCAGGGGAACACAATACTAACAGTGGAAACTTTGCCAACAACAACAGAAATGCTACTAAAACTTCAAAGTGAACACAAATGGTACATTTGACAGGTTTTAGCCAAGTTGGCTAATGAACTGAAGATCCAGAAACGAAGTTACATGATTACAATGGGTAGACATTTTCCCGCTTGTCAAATAAATTTCTGTAAACCTAGTATTATAACAATAACACAAAGCAATAGGTATTTCCGATACTAAGATAAAGAGCCAACAGATTGAAATAAACTGCTGCACAGGAACCCATACAGCAGTGATAAAACTGCATCTAGAAAGGGCATATAAAAAAAAAGTTAAGATCCACCCTTTATTATACAACACAAAACACATTGAAAACATTTGCACTGCAACAATCAAAGGTTACAGTCAATGATTTGTTAAATTTTTTTAACCTCTTGCCTCTATTACCATGATACTCCTCCACCCTGCACAAAAAAAAACCCTTAACCAGCCAACTCCTATTGGTGTTACAGAAACTAAAAAGAAGAAAAACAACCCAGGAATAATACAGCTTAAAAACCAGAATCGTATCTTATTACAGATACATTCTGACCTGTTTTGCAGAAAATGTTCCAGAGGCCAACTGAAACTAAAGTCACTTAATACAATTGTGCCTAATAAGCTGCTTTCCCTTCAAATGAAAAATCATTCTGAAAAACAAGTAACAAGTAGCTAAATTCAGACCTCCTGAAAAGGGTAATCTCCTGAAGTTACCTGCTTGCCCAGCTAAGGGAAACTGCTTAATCTCAGACCTCTGAGGACTACTTTGTTAGTTGTAAGACATTCAGAACTGCTCCAAAACCCACTTGCTCCACTATAATGGAACTCAAACTTCAACAGAAAGACCCAAGTCCTGCAGTTACACGAAGCTACATATCAACACCAAAATGTTGTTTAATTTCTCATCATTCTACTCGCTGATTAAAAGAGTTGTCTATCTTTTTTAAACAGAAAGCACCACCTCCTGTGCTCTTCTAAGTAGCTGCAGTACCCTCACAGGAGAAAACAGGTATTACTCTACTTTGTTTCTCAAGAACATGTAATGTGGAAGGGTCCCCAAAGTGGTGAGCGCTCTATAATAAAAGGCTTCCATATAGTATGTCACCCCAAAATTTCCACGTTTTACAAATACTGGTTTATCATCATTGGCCTAGACCTTAGAATATATCCATATCAAAAAGTGAATACACAAAAAAAAAAGCTAAAAACATAAACCTTGTTGTATCTTACTCTTCAATATTAATATTCTCTGTTTTTAAAAACAAGAAAAAGCCAAACTCTCCATAAAATTAATGACAAGATTTAAAACTTCATTTCTAAAAATTGTTTTTGGAATCTATCCATAGTCTGAACATGGAACCAAGTACTTTTCACTGTTGGAAAAGTAATCATTTAACCAAAAAAACAGAAATTGGAAGCCAACTGATTCCCAAAACCTAAAATAATTAGCTCCAAGCACTCTATTTTCCAGGTGGAGGTTTAAAAAAGCTCAGTACTTCAGAGTTCTTAACTTTGTTCTTGTGATGTTTTGTTAATGTCAACACACAAAGCAAGATTACTAATTGTACGAGATCCCACCTGCAGGCTGCTTAGTAAGACTTGCTGCCTACAGATCAACGTTCTCCATGTACACACTGAGTATATCTATGACAGCGATGCAGTTTTATTTCAACATTTTCAATTCAGCAAAGTTTCATGCTGCTCTCTTAGGTGACAGGCATCTTATTTCTTGTTCTCACTTTCCCACGGGCCTTAATGCAACACAACCAAGTGCCATCTGCATTTCAGTTGGTCACCCTGGGCATGTGTTGAGACAAAATGTTGCCAAATTTTGTTTCAAATGATGTGAAATGAAACAAACATCACCACAACTGTCTGCTTGTCCTCTCTTCCTCTCCCACATCTACACTAACTCCTCTACAATCAGAGGGTAAACTTTCACAGCTCACCACAGCTAGGCAGCTTTCTTCTTTGTGCAGCTGCTTCGCTCCAACCCATCATTGCTCTTTGCTTTGTGCTAGCTACGGAGAAATAAAGTATTTCTACAGCAAAGCCAATCCTACTGATCTTTAGCAAAGAGCAGATAGCAATCACAAGAGGGCCCAGATAGCATAAACATATGCCTTACAGAGAATGCCCGTGTTTATGGATAGCTGCCAACCAAGACCTAAGATCAGGCAAGAAGCCACTACAGGAGAAAAACAAAGTCTGCAAAAAAGACTTCTTTGCTTTTCATTTGAGATGCTCTGTTCAAATTAAAAGTTTGTCGCTATAAAGTAGAACCAGTGGGATCAACCTTATTCTAAAAGTTATCGACAATACAAAGGTAATTGCTCCAACGCCAAACAAAGTTCATGTATTTATACCATGGAAAAACACTTGATGGCAACTCCTCTTCCTAAGCTTTTGGTCTTAAGCCTCAAGCAGCCCTCAAATTTAACTCCTTTTCTTCTTCCACGAAATGTCACAAGACGCTTTATTGCGGCCAGCAAAGTATTCTACTTTCCGTAAAAGATACGTAAAAGTAAAAAAGTATCAACAATTCTGTAAAAGTATCAACAATCACCTTGTTTCTGCAAGAAGTGCGTTCAAAGACTCCTTTCTGAGCATCTTTTTGGAGTATGGTCACTTCTGGCAAAAAATCTTACAAAAACCCATAAATGTAACAGAACGTGCCAGCTGTTTGCCAGATTCTGCTTTCCTACACTCTGCACCTGTATGAGCTGTCAGGACACAGTGAATCAGATTTAAGAATCTCACATCACACCTTTTTATTCTGCAAAGTAAGGAACAGTAGTGAGCAGATCAAACAGAAGGAAAAAAAAAAAAAAAGAGTGGAACTACCTTATCTTTTGCTAAACCAAAGTATCAGTGCAACTAGCAAATTGTTATAAGCTGTCCCACTTTCTCCTGTCTCCGAGAATCGGGATTCATGCTTTAAAAATCAACTCTCTCTTACAGGCTTCTCCTAGCTTCCGATGAAATACTCTAAACCTGA